GGGCGTGCACTCCGGGGCGCGCGGGTCACGATACCACCGGTCGGACGGCAGGGAGGGACAGGCAGTCATTGAAACCTTTTAACGGCAAGACAAGCGCGCAGTCCCCCCCCCCCCCCCCCCGGAGAAACCGAATGACTCCATTCAGCCGTCCGTCCGTCCATCTTCGCGCGCGATCGCCGGCCATCTCTACGTGCCGAGAGGCGCTAAAACGAAGCGCAGCACAGTGGGCCAGAAGACCGGTGGAGGCGGCCAAAACTCTAAACGCGTTTTGAGCTCTAGAGTCGCTAAATGGGACTCGAACCGAACGTGTGACCCCACCAATGGATTGCTCTCCGAACGAGGAATCCATTGGTGGGGTCACACGTTCGGTTCGAGTCCCATTTAGCGACTTTAGAGCTCAAAACGCGTCTAGAGTTTTGTCCGCCTCCGGCCCACTGTGCGCAGGTGGGAGGGGGATGGGTAATGGAAGCCCGGATTTGAACCGCCCGCCCGGCGGCCGGAAAGGCGGGACGGCAAAAAGGCGCGTCCGCGGCGGTGATCTGTTTGGCGAGGTTCCCGCGCTGAGTGAGTTATACGGCGGCCGCTTGCTGCCTTGCTGCTCGCCGTTGAATTTGATATTTCCTTCTGGCCGCAAACGTGACCCGGCCGGGGCCGCGGCGGGGCCGTGGCCGCGCGACACCTGTAAGTGAGCCTCCCGACACGAGGCGGGGCGTGGCGGGGCGTGGCGGGGCGTGGCGGGGCGGGGCGCGCGGTTTACGACTAACAACGCGCGGTTCTGAAGGCAGGCGAAGCTCAGCCTCAGTCCAGCACTCACTTTTTCGTGTCGGCAGCAGCACACGTGCGACCATCTCTCTCTCTCTCCCTCCCTTTTTTTCGTCGGCGAAGGCGATGCGTTTACGACTGAATCTAGCGTTGAAAAAAGCGCGGCGTGTCTTTATCGAGTGGGCTCGCACGCCGCGCCGCGCCCGTCCATTGAGCCGCGAGCGCGCGCGCAGGCAGCCCAGGATTAAAACGTCGGCGATATCGAGGCCCTGGATCTATAGCCCCCCGCGGAGCTTAACACGCCTCTGGAATACACGCGGATCGAGCGATCGGGCCGCAGGGGGGCGGGGCGGGGCGGGGCGGGGCGGGCGCGGGGCACGCCGTGCGTGCGATGCGTCAGTCTCGCGGCTCCGCGGCGTCCGCGGTGCGACTCTGCAGCGGCGTCCGACTCCGGCTGCAACTGCAACACCTCCATGAAATGTAGGGCGGCTGCCAATGCGACATGAGCCGTGGGTTCGATTCGGTTCGATTCGGTTCGATTCGATATCTCGATCGGTGTGCTGCGCTGCTGCGCCCTGCGGTCCATCGGCCAGCCGGTCGCCTCCCGGTGGTCCTTGGTGGTCCTGCGACGAGTCGGGACGGAACGGCCTCGCCGGGGAATGTCTCCTCATTTAATTTTATTGACATTTGACCAATTAGACGCCGCGTTCGCCGCATTAGCGTACAAATGTCGCGGCGGCGCGCGCGGACCCGCTCGTCTTTTTGATAGAGCGGGAATCCAGCGTCCGGGGACCGACGGGGACCGACGGGGACCCTCCTGGACGCGCAGCTCGCGCACCAGGCCGATTCCGAACCGTACTTTCGCCGCTGTGTCTCTCTCGCACTCCCCCGGGCGGGCGTAGGGGTGGGAGAGAGAAGCAGAGCGACGAAGCGTCGTTCGGAACGAGCCTGGTCATCGATTGGCCGGCTGAATGACGAGCTGGACCTCCTCGATGGGACGCGAATGGCGCTGCGCGGCACGGCACGGCACGGCACGGCACGGCACGGCGCGGCACGGCACGGCACGGCACGGCACGGCACGGCACGGCACGGCGCATCGGGCCGCGGGGGGCCAATCTCCGATCGACTCGACTCAACTGACTGCTACATTTTCGGGAAGGTTTCGAAACGCGTGTTCCTCGGCGAGTTGAGTTCGGTCTTGGCAAACCCCTTCGGAAACCTTCCTGTTTCACCCGGACCATACTTTTTACGGCATTTATTTTTAGACTCGTACGTACGCAGAAGATTCGCGCATGGCGGAATCTTTTCAAATTGTTTTTGTGCTGCTGCTGTGCCATGCATTCTGAACTTCTGGAGCTTCTTCCAGGGAAACGGCGGCCATCCCTGCTTCGTCTTCCGGACGTTCTGGACCCCCTTTCTCCACGGCACACTAAAATGTAATTGACACGCACGCTGGGCAGACGGGACGCGATGGGACGCGACCCGGCACGGCCAGCAGGGGCGGCCAGGCGGCCAGCACGCGGCACGGCCAGTGGGGCACGCACGCGGACGCACGCGGCACGGCGCGCTGCTGCTGCTGCTTTGAATTTACTGCACGGCTACGGAGGCTACGGCTGCCTCCCCCGCGGAGACCCAAACAGTGTCGCCACGCCGCGACCCGACAGAACATTAAATGTTATTGGGTTCTTTACATGGAGATGGGCCATGCCCCCCTCTCTTCCACCACCCTCACCTCTCCCCTCCCTCTCCCCGCTCAGCAGTGCAAGTTTGTCTATAATGGCCGCGCAAGTCCAGCCGGAGACCAGGGGACGACGCCCTTCCCTGACCCAGACGCAGCGGAGCGTCGCGAACGCTCCTGCGACACTCCGTGGTACCGATAGTGCTACTCCCAACCGGAGAGAGTCGTCCAAGTGCGAACAATCCGGCCTCAGACACAATGCTTGTAATTTTCGCCGCCGACGCGAGTACGACTCCATCATGTACCTGGAGCATGTCGTCCCGAAAGAGGAAACAGAGCTCCTGCTATTTCCTTGGGACGGGGCACGGCCGGCTGGCCGGCACGGCACGCACGTAGACACGCGTGACACCGTAACGTGAGACCCAGCCTCGTAAGGCCCGTCCTGATGTCCTGGCGTCCTGGCGCACTTCGTGCTCATATAAACGCGTAAACCCGTCCGCAAGACCGCCGGGACGGCCGGGACGCTGGCTGGTCCTGGGCGCCCCGCTCTACTGAGCCCGCCGCCGCACCCGGGTCAGGGTGGCAGGGCAGGACTAGGCAGGACTTGGCGTCCGGCAAAGCACGACTCGTTTATGGCCCGCGTCCGTACCGTCCGTACGCACGTCGCGGAGTCCTGAGCCCCGGCCGAAGGGCGGTAGCACTATCGCCAGCTTGCAGTGTTCTGGAGGCTCGCCGAGGCCGAGGGCGGTACCTGGACCGAGGTGGGCCTGATTCCCACAATTGCACTGCTGTCCTGTTTCTCTCGCACTCATGGGCCTTCCAGTGTGAGTCCGAGAGAGACAGAAGCCTGGTGCTCGCTCCGGAGCACGGCGACGTTCGGCGCGGCGGGCTGGGTGCGAGGTGCGCGACGGCCGGCGACGGTGGAGCAGCACAGCGCCACGCCACTACTAAAGCCACGATGGGGAAGGCGAGGAAGGCGGGTCGGCCGAAGGCTCGCCCGGACAGGGGTCTCATTACAAATAATTCACGTCGAACAAAACACACACCGCGACCGGGGCCGTGGTCGTGCGGCGTGGGCGTGAAAGCCCGCGTCCGGCAGCCTACGCAGCCCTCCCTCACCCCCGCCTCGCTGATATGGGCGCATCCCACCCGGTGCAGCGCAGCGTGCTGAATCCGTCTCTGTCGCACCCAGGGCCCAGGGGGCGGGTCCGTTGGCGTGCGAGAGAGACGGAGCGAGCCAGCCTGCTCCACCACGGCGTGCACCTCGATTGCAGTCGTTGGGCGACGTGACCGTCCGGCGGGCGTCGCGCGGCGGCGCGGCTCCCCGCTGTGGCGCTGTGACGAACGCGTTGCGCATGCACCCGGTAAAGCCCGGCCAAGGCGCGATTTGGGTTTGGGGCCATCGTGTCATTCGGGCACGTCCTGTCCCGCTGCATCTGCTGCTCCGCTTGATGGGTCGCAAAACCGGAACCTGGTTTGCCGGACACGGCGCGGCGTCTGCGACTTACCTTTCTGGCGCGAGCAGGGTCAGGAGCACGGCGAGGAGCAGCAGGGCCCTTCGGTTGGCAGGGCGCGGGGCCCCCCTAGGGCCCCCCCACCCCCAAGGGGGCCCTGCCACGGCCCGGGGCGCGCGCCAGGACCGCGGCGACGCGCCTCGAGGGCCTCGAGGGCCTGGAGCTTGCAGGCGAGGCCGCCAAGGCTGACGCCCAACACTCATGGCCACATGGTCACATCCTGGTCACACCCTGGCGACCATCTTGGCCAGCGCGGCGCGCTCGCATCGCGTGGCGCATCCCCGAGCACCACGAGCTGGGCCTCTCAGTCCATGGTGTCACTGTCGCCGTCCACCCCAGCCCTCGTGCTGCCACAGTTCACTGAGCCACCCAGAGTCCTGAGTCACCGAGGTTCGTTCCAGGCAGGCCGTCCAGGTTCCAGGGGAGACTCCGCCACCGCCACCCTCGTCGGCGTGGTGCTTCGTCCTGGCACTCGCGAGGTCCTCGTCGGCCGCAAGGTCTTTCTTTAGGCCCGTGTCCAGTACCGGCGTAGCGTCCGCACACGACTGAGACCGAGTCCAGCCGCCGCCAGCCTCCGGCTCCAGCATGGCTCCGGCCTCCGCCACAGCCCCTCCCGCGCAGCAGCCGGGGCCGGCCCACAGTGGCCCCGCCTCGACGGCCTAGCCGCCTCGGCACGGCGTGGGGCGAGTCGGGAGTTTGCAATCACGTAACGGAATTCACAGACATTCCCACTTAGAGCGGTGTTAAAACTCCTGCCGCAGATTGGCTGTAGAGCAGCAACGTGGCCGATGTCAGTCTCGTCTTCCTCGGCCGATGGGTGGCCTACCCACACGGCGGACCCCAACGCCGGGCAGGCAGGCAACCCTTTCAACGATTGACCCAACCACAAGCTCACATTTGATTTTCTTCATAATTTCGAACTTTAATCCATTTACTCAGCTGTTTAGGTTGTGAAATCTATTGTACTGAGATATTCGACTTATGACTCAGATTTTTGTTAAATTGTATATTTTAGAGATGCTAGGTTTGGAACAGAAAATCAACAATACATTTCAGACATAGGGCTACGAATTTTATTTTTGCATTTACAGCTTTAGTGCAGCATACACCACCACATCTAATTTCTCACACTGTGACAACATTTTTATTTGCATGAAGAAATGGGAACACAATAATTAATTTGACTAAAACAGAATGGCACTGGTCTGAGCAACTAGTAGAAACAAAGTATTTGACAAACCATGCAAATTTAGCCGTCACATTCACTAGAAAACTGAACTCCTGGAAGGATACAAGAGCGAAGTGGCAACTCTACTACATAAAGATAGAATACAATGTCATTACACAACAACATTTAGAGGAGTTTGATTAATACATGACAGTTGTTTTCTTCTGCAAATCTTGTACCAAATTTAATGATATACAAACAATAAAGAGGAGTTATAGAAGAACAGGCTTATAAATTGAAACATAGAATAACAAGAATAACAAAATCAGAATCAATCAGTACAAAATAGTAACAAGACAGGAAGGAATAAATAAGTGGCAAGTCGAGGAACATTAAAATTCAGTCTCACAAGAAGAAAGGGAAATACAGTACATTTGATAAATTTGTGACACACCTTTTAGTCCTTTTTACAAACTCACAAAAGGATATAACTGAACTCTCCCTAGATAAACTTATAAGAGAAGGAAAAATCAGTCAAACAGTTAAGTATGTAATCAGTTTAACGCTGGAAATGGGAACTTCAGACAGAAGAGCTGTTGAAACTTCAGATTTATATTTATATAAATAAATCACAAGCTCTGAAGAAAACTGTAAGTGGAAGAAAAATAAATCAGAAACAAAATAAGCTCCATTTGTTTTTGTTGTAGTTAAGTGGATCTTAACTCACTTTTAAAGTTACTTGCTCTTCAGTGGAACAATGCGAACTTTGTTTGATTTATCATCTGCATGTAACGTGAGGCCAAGATCATGCAGCATTCTTGTATCAATGGATCCCTCTCTGTTCATAGCAGCGATGACAGCTTGGTTATCTTTGTTATTCTCACACAGATTTCGAATAGCAAGAACAACCCATTGAATCATTACTGGAAAAAGTCAGTCAAGGATTCACACTTAAAAAATTGTGAAGTTTCTTTAGGAGGGGGAGAGGCATATTTTAAATGGCTTATGAACAATAAATAATAGAAGCAAAGGATACATGGATTTCTTGCATCAATTGAGCAGCAATCCAAAAGAAGTGGAATTCCGTCAAGTTCTCGCACCTAAAAAACCAAAAAATTGGTTTTAAAATTTTTGAAAGGTTACTGCAATAAAACAAGAATACTGTGATATATTTCACAAGCCTTACTTGGTCTTGATTTTCCTTGTGCCTCCAACATAAATTTCCAATAAGACGTACAAGACAAGCTTTAAATCCAAATGCTGGGTGTTGTTCAACTTGATTCTCAACACCTTTATCAGAAATATTCAGAGCAGAAAGTTTGTGGATTGGGGAAAATTCATTATCACCTGTCTGCCCAACCATATGTATACTTTTCAGGAGAACTGCAAAGAGAGAAGTAAAATTAAACCTATTTTAATTCTTATAGCAGAGATATCTTTATTTTTTTTGTGTATGTCTACTTACATGTACAGTCTATGAGTAACGACTTATCCATCTGAAGCTCTGCATTGTATGGGTCTTTGCTAGAAGCACAAGCAACCACTTCAATAAGTTTAGACACCTCTCTTGGCTCAAGTGAATCTGCATAGTGAGCAGAAGTCTTGAGAATCAAAAATGACCGCCTTTTCAGTTGTTCGACCATAAACTTCAGGCAAGGCATGAGTATCCTGATAAAATTGAAAGGTAATCTTAAAATACAAGTCTGCATAGCAATGAACTCCAAAAAATTTAACACTTGGGTGGAAAGAGGAGAACACATACTTTCTAGTTGGCTCAGCTTTCGGCAAATCTTTCCTTTTCTTGTCCTCAACTTTAGTAGTATTTTCAGGCAATGACAAAAGTATATCGTGGCAGATTTCAAGAAGCCTAAGGCGACATTCGATGTCTAAGGAGGGGTACGACTCCTCAAAGACATCAGGAGTCGATAAAAACAGCTCAGTGGCATATACCCTGCAAGAGCAGTAGGTCAGTGTGAGCGCATAGTTACCTAAATTATATTTCTAACAATAACTACCAAAGAATCAAGAACTCACCCAAATTCACACTCCATAACAGCATGTTTGAGGAATGATGCCAGTAAATCTATACCATATGGTTTAGGAGCACACAAATCTGGATGCCCAAGTAAAATGTTATAAATAACCATTGCAGAAAAATTCTTCAGTTTCAAGTCTTTTGAAGCTAACATTTTCCTGTAAATAGAAGTTACAACAAAATATGTGTTAATACGTAAATTTCTAATCTTCCCTTCACAATCATTTCAAAACGAAACTCGAAGTAATTTAAGAATCAACTCGGAAGAGACTCACTTCAACAATGTTGAAAACTTTTCCCATACTAACAGCTGATTGTCACTGTGGTTCACAATCAAGTTTCCAAGAAACTGAGTGGCCACACGTACACACAAAGCAGATGTTTCATCTTCCTTTTCGAGAAGAAATTCCATAATTTGAAGAGTGTCATCTAAGAGAGATGCATTTGAAGTACATGACGTTTGGTATTCTGGGCTCCCGGCACATCCGTTGCGAAGTGTTCGGTATGAATTCAAAACAGCTTCCACTTCCTCTTCACTGCAAACCTTATTTTCATTCCACAGTACTGCTATGGACCTAAGGTGTTGAGTCAATGTTTCCGACATATCTTCTCGCTAACCTGTCAACAGAATCAATTCATATAAAATAGCAACAATAGAGACTAAACATTGAGAGAATTGAAAAACGTCTGAACACACAGACGAAGAAGTCTTTGCACATTCAGACACTACAGAAATAAGTAAATTGTTTGTAAACACTGTTGCTGCTTAATGATAACCTAAAAGACATAATAACCCTTGAAATGGAAAGACATAAACGAGATATTTAAAGGATAACGAATATTACCAATAAAGTTCTGAGAATAAGATAAAAGTTTCCATAAATATAAAACAAGAAATAGAATTATAAAAGAATTTTAAAAAGCAGCTTAAAAAGCGCCGTGAACAGACTTAGAACGTTGTTCGAGTTACACACCTTTTCATGCAATATTTCAAATATCCTCTAAGTCACGACAAGATAGGAGAGCTGTAAATTCCTATGGTTGACACGAAATATTTCAAGAGCGCGCAAAAATGAAACTAAACGCATTGAAGCGCCCCTTGAAGCACAGACGACACGAAGGAAGGTTGGCAAAATTGTTAGGAAGTGAGGGAAACAAGAGCTTCAACAAGTAGCAAGAGGCTACAAAAATTTAACTGGCCAGAAATGGTGATTGAAGTTGGAGGCACCAGCTTGAGGTCCTAATCGCCACGTATTTCCACAAGGGAATGCTTTAGAAACATTTCATGACTAGCAGCAGAGAATTTCCTTTTGAGAAACCTAGAGCGAGCTCATGTGTGAGCGCCACTGCGGCAATACACCGCGCTCCGAACGCAAGCAAGGGGTATCGCTACAAGTCAGAGACATCGCTCTGCCCATTTTCTGCCAAGCTGGTCATCTAGCGCGGAGTGTGAAGCTAGTGTGCCCGAGAAGGGTTCCCTCTGGTGGTAGAATAATTTAGAGGCAATGTCTGATTTAAGGACACATCAATCCGCTGATTTGCGTGTAGCGGCACAGAGCAGTTGGCGTCGCATCCGCTAGATGGCGCTGCGGTCGTTCCGCGGCCGGTCGCTCTCGATGAGTGCTAGGGGCGGCAGCAGCATAAGAGGAGGCAGAGCGCTCTCTCAGGTACTCTGGTCTCCCTTCAAAACGTAAAAATCTTTCGCCTTTTACTAAAGATTTCCGTGGAGGGGGACACATTATGAGTCTAACGACCAATTTTTTGTGAGCCCTGCGCAAGCGGGGCCGATAAGAATCAATCAGCATCAAAGGAAGAAAACAAACAAATCTGCGTAATTTCGGTCTCATCTTCTAGTGTACAAGTCCACTGTACGCGGACGTGTCGTGCGGTTGAGAAGTGAGTTGAAGAAGCGACATGGATGTAGCTTTTGCCAAACTACGCCAAAACCCGAGTTGTGAAAGGTTGTGGCTGGGCTGACCTGTGCTGAGAAGCGACGTGTTAGCCGTCGGCCGGCCGACCCCTACCACCTCACTTGTGCTGAGCTGGTGATTCTGTTTTCTCTCGTTACATCCCATGCACGCGTGCTCGCGTACTTCGAGCACGAAACTGAAAGATATGCTTTTGTCGTGTCGCTCAAACACCTCGCTGGAAAGTAGAGACATGCGGCAACGGCAACGTGACTGATTCCCACCGACACAACTCAGTAGTCAATGTGAGAGTTCCTATTTTCCATTTGGATGATTTTAACGCCATATGAGCCTCCGTAGAGGCTTCCAAAAATTGCCATGGTGGACTATATTTCAAGTCCTCCAGGCGGGGTATTGGTAAAAGTTTTCAACTAGCAATAATCGCACCTCGGATAAACCTCATTGGTTACGATATCGCCACTGCGCAAAGTTAACATGTAAGACGTGAGCCGGGGGGTCTATATCCAGCGGCACAAAACATCCGATCGCGAGCGGGCGGACCGCCGGGTTGCACTGGCAGCCCTCTGTCGGCCGCGCCGTGGACTGCTACGCGCGCGGAAAGCGCGGGAACAGTGCCGCAGCTTGAATCCCGCGTCAATCTCACACTATCGAACCGCTGCCCTCGTCGACGTAATAGTGCAGCGAGTTTGCCTTTGCCGAAGGGGCTCACGGTTTCTCACCACCACCAGAGTCATTCCACAGTGTATCGCCGCTGTCTCTGCCTCCCTCGCAACCAGACGCCCCGTGCCATCATGATGCCATGCGAGCGAGAGAGACAGAAACACAGCTGGTCTAGGGATGTGCGAATAGTTCGGTATCGAATCGAACGAATCAGGGCTGATTCGATTCGATTCGGGGACGGATCGCTTTGCTTCGACCCCGAATATTCGAAATTTCGAATCGACAGTGCTTCGTCTTCGAATCCGTAGCTCGGGAACGGTTGAAAGTCGCGTGCACAGCGTAGTTTATATACAAAAGCAAGATCAGGTATTCAACTTTTCTTCTTTTTTGTATTCATACTCTATGCCCTTCCTATATTACATGTGTTTTGTGTATTGAAATGCACTAATTTTTTCTAGTTTCAGTTCGAATTCGATTCGACTCTGAATCCTTATAAGTTCGATTCGATTCGATTCGACAAATTTTTCCAGATTCGATTCGATTCGAAACTTTTTTGAAAGATTCGATTCGATTCGAAATGAAAATCCTTGATTCGCACATCCCTAAGCTGGTCCCCGCTCATCGGCCGGTTTCGAGTTTCGGCTTAATGGATTGGATTCGCCTCACAACTGAAGAGGTAATTACAAACTTCAGATGCCACTTGAATACGACAGCAAAAGCCGCTTCCCGACATTGAACAACGGATGTGGCCGGGGCAGCGCAGCGTCGCTTCAATCACATCATTGAGAACAAGAATCGGTTTATTGGTGTACTGTGCAAAGGGCGAGGGAGCGATAAAGTTCGGGGAGCGAGCTGAGTGGTTTCGCCAATCAGGCGGAGCGTTCCACACCCACCAGCCGTCCGCACTCTCAAATAAGGGACTAGAAAGCGACTAGATTTGGAAAGCGGTCGTGGTGCTGCTAGTCCTGCCAGCTGTCCACCAGCTCGGCCGGGTCGGGCACGGGCATGCACACGGCGCGGCGGGCGTCGTTGATGGCCTCGGGGCACAGGTCCATGGCCAGGGCCTCCTCCAGCACGCGGCCGTTGCAGCGCCGCACGGGCTGGGTGTCGTGGTACGCGTTGCGGAGGCAGTCCTCGCCGAACGCGGCCTCGCAGCGCGCCGCCTGCGTCGCCGTGCTCACCAGGAACACGTTGCCGTTGGTGGCGTGGCTGTTGACCAGGTTGTTCATGCCGCAGAAGCGGTTGCCCTCCACGAGCAGCAGCGCGCCGTCCCAGGGCTCCAGGGCCACGTCTGAGTTGCCGTCGAAGTGGTTGCCCACGATGTGGATGAAGTTCTGCAAAGTTTCCGTTTACATTGGCGGGTTCGAGGTGTTGTGTGTGACTGCGGCTTCGCCTTACTGTATGCACTGTACCTTGGAGCCCAAGTAGCCACCGGCGTGCGGCAGGCGGCCGCTCGTGTTGACGATCTTGTTGTTGATGAGGGTGATCCGGTCGTCGGTGCCCCAGAACAGCCACACCCAGTAGTGCTTGCCGTCGCAGTACGCCGAGTTGGTGGTGTGGCCGTCGAAGGTGCAGGAGGACACGGTGACCCCCGTGTTGCTGGTCTGGTACGACACCAGGAACTGGCGCCCGATGTTCTGGGGGCAAAGACGCGTTAGTTTGGCTTTCGGAGGGCAAGCATGCTGCAGCGAGGGGAGCAGCCCTAAAGCTACCTTGAAGGTGACGTTGTGGATCCACACTTGGTCCACGCCGTTGAAGGTGAGCGCGTCGCCGCCCCAGATGACGGCGGGGTTTATGTCCACGATGCTGATGTCCCTGATGATGACCTGCTGCGCCTTCCTGATCTTGAGGCCCTTGCCGCGGAGCACGCCCTTGCCGTTCACGCCCATGATGGTCTTGAAGGAGCCCACGTTGAGGGGCTCTGGGCCGGCCGCGTCGTAGGTCACCTGGGGAGCAGAGCGAGCAGAGAGCACGTCACTTGGTGGCCGCCGAGGCTCTAAGGCAGGTGGGCGGGGCGGAGCGGGCAGGCGGCAGTGGCGGACTCACGTTGGTCATCTCCCGGCCGTCGCAGGTGTCGGACTGGGCCAGCGAGTACTGGAAGCCCGGGCCGCACTTCTTGAAGAAGCAGCCGTCGCTGGTGGCGAGGCCCTGCGAGCCCGTGAAGTCGAACGTCTTGTCGAGCAGGATGATGCGGGGCACGTCGTCCTTGAGGAAGTTCTTGAGCTCCTTGATGTTCTTGGGCGTGACGGTCTTTCCTGTGGAAGGACAAAGTTGCAGTGCGATCATCCTTGTGGCGGGCGACAGTCTTCACCGTGGCAACCGTGGCCAGTCCCAGTGTACCTCCTTCGCCGCCCACAGTGCCCCTGCCGAAGCCCACCGGCTCCTGGATGCAGTCCGGGTCCCAGTTGGTCACCTCGGCGGTGACGGTCACGGCGGCCAGCGCCATCAAAGCGAGCAGAGTGCGAGCCATGGTGGCGATGATCGGTCGCTGAATGGTGGAATGGTGCTGAGTACTCGGCGCCTCGCTTTTTATCGAGCAGTGACGCTGGGTGACGTACGGAACGGACAGCTTGGCGACCCGTCCACAATCTCGCGGTAGGTGCAGTGTGCAAATTAAAACAGGTGCGACTTCCCTCGAAGCCAGAAATACTTTGTTTGGCTTTCTGCTGGTCGCGCGCCACCAAAGCCCACTTGTGAATGTACATAGTGCGCCACCGCGAACGGCTAAGTTGTATTCTCTTGGCCCTGGGTAAGCACGGCCGATGAACGAAAAGGAATTACTGAGAAAGAGGTGACGCAGTCGGCAGCCCTCTGCCCCGCCGTGCATTACCGTGTATGGAAGCCGCCCTGCACACCGGCGTGGAGACGGTGGCCTACCTTGCCCCTGTCAAGTAAAGTACAGCCGATTAAGGTCCCCAAGGATAAACCAAACGAGTAAACACGACTATGTTTAACGATTATAATTCATCATAAATGCAAAGTTCAGTACTTTCAACATGAGATCTAATTAACAAAACAATCAAATTTTTAATTCGAATTTTAAATCATTTTCCGACGTAACTAAGGGTGCGCTCCCGGGCCCATGCGGCCCCGGCCTTGCCTGTGGCCCCTGGGGCACCTCCGCTCGCAGTCGCACGAGTACACGGGCATGAAGCCGATGTCGTAGCGGTCGTCGAAGCCGATGATGCACTCGGCCGTGTACTCCAGCGAGGGCATGGCGGCCCTCAGGGCGTCCTCGGCGCGGTCGCGGCACTCGTCCCAGCCGCGGTCGGCGCTGCAGGGGCAGTCCTGGACGTGCAGCTTGCGCAGCGACGGCCTGGCGCCGGCCGCCGTCACCATCGAGGCCAGCTCCAGGAACTCGGCGCGGCCGACGGGGCCCACGTGGCTGAGGAGCAGTTCGCGGAGCGAATAGCGGCCGTCCCTGTTGGCGAGCATGGCCTGCAGCGGCTTGAAGCCGGGGAACAGGCTCTGGGACGCCGCCAGGGCCTGCTCGCTGCGCCACCACCTGGACAGCGAGAGGCTCTCCAGCTGCGGCGCGTGCAGGCACAGAGTCCGCAGCACCGTCGACAGCCCCGGCGCCCCCAGGGAGACGGGCACCTCGAGGTGGAGGCGCCGCAGAGTCGCGCTCTTCTGCAGCATGGCGCAGAGGGCCGAGCCGGTGGGGTCGCTGAACACCGACAGCTCCTGCGAGGGCAAGCCCAGGCAAGCCGAGGTAGGTGTTAACGCCACTCCTCAGTTGCGTGAAATCAAGTTTCATGCAATAACTAACGACTGACCTCGAGTTTTGAGCATTCTGCTAATGCTTCAAACACATCTGGGCAAGGAAAAGACACTTTGGCCGTCGTCAATGTGTCCTTGTGAGCCCGTAGGAGAGCTGACAGGTTTTTTCCTGCCGACGCCCATGTACTTGAGGACTTGATGTCAAGAGGAACTCCGAGGGGCATGAACTCAACGTGCAGCAGACCCTGTGGCTGGTTTTGTCTGAACATCTCACAGTCATTGTAGTCAACGTTTCGAAGGTCCAAAGATGTCTTTGGATCCCGAGGATGAGGTTCAGAGCCTGCTGGTATGTAAGTGGCTGTGTCAGCTGGATTCAGTTCATGATCCTCTCCTATTAAAAAAAAAAACAGAAGATGGAAAGTTTAGAAGCAGTGTTACCAGAAATCCACATTGGTTACCTTGTTACTTTAGAACACCCACAAATAAATTCTATATCTAATTTTGTCTTACTTACTAGCTACAGTTGACGATGCCAACAGCAGACCTGTCTCTGGAATGCGTAGTAATCCTGACTGGCTTATTTCCAAGGAGGTGAGGTGAGACAAACGGCGTATGGTCGCAGCAACACTGAGCAACACATTGTCATTGAGTCAAATAATCATGATTCTAATTTGTAAATAAAAGATTCAATTCTCACCCAGCAGAATAATCATTATCAGTAGCATTATCACAGAGTTGAATCTCTCTTAATTCAGGATGTTGCTGCAGGAACAGCATTATTTCTGGTCCGTAGTCATCCACTGACAGGCTGAGCCTATAGAGCCTGCAGCGTGTGGACACTAAGGCAGCCAGTAGAGAAACGTGCATGTCCTCTTCGCAATTTCTCAGTGAAACTGACAGATGATGAAGATACGGAGTGACAAGAATATGCCTGAAAGCAGATTGGTAAAATTAAGGTTCATTGTAACATGCTAAGACTATTTGTGTTGACAATTAGCCTGTAATTTACCTGATAAAGTCATTGACAGGCGATGAATCCCAACAATCACTGCTATCAATACTAAGAAAAGCCTTCGACCATAAGACTTGAGAGTGAGCTAGTCTTTTACAGTCCTTGCTTACTCTTGATACCACATGGCGCAAAAAATCATGACCCAAGTAACGGAATATGTGAAGAAGAACAGGCTCTGGTAGATCCATCAACTGAACAATATAAAATGGAAGAGATTAACTTGTAGCAAATTTTTGTTGCATTCATATCTTCTAGCCATGGTGAAAATAATACCTCAAGCGCGTCACAAGACATATCTTCTTGAGAACTTTCGTCTTCAGGTAGGCTCATTTTGAAATTATTTACAAGAAAACCTAACCTTCCAATGTTGTTAAATGTATGCTGCTCGATTCTTTATTGATGACAGGGTTAAACATATATGAGAGACAGCTATGTGAAAGATGACAGGCAACACCAACACATCACACTGTATCAAGTTTGAACCAAAATTAAATAACTTAACAACTCCAGCCTGTTTCATGGCAAGAGCAAGAGCAACTCCAGAACTTCAAACAGAAACACAAGACGATCAACCGCCGCCGCTGCTGGCATGGCCAACATTCCCAACCCAAAGGACCCAAACGAATACGAACGTGAATCGATTTACGTCAGGTGTGGAAGTCGTCGTCCAAAAGTGGGTGGGGTGGGGCGTGGTGTTTATGAACTGCACGATCTGTCATTCAATATTCAATCGAAAACTGCGAGCTGTGTTGGCTTCCATCTATGGTTAAATAGCGGTGTGAATTAAGATAAGGGTACCATCAAGTGTTACCCATTGATTACTGAAATTCACCATGCCGGTAAGATGAACTTGAAAATAAATATGCCTGTTTTAAGGTTACTGTGAGCAAATAATATTAGTTTAAAGTAATATTTTATTTGAAAAAATTTTAAACTCATCTTTGGATACCCCCTACATCAGGCATACCATTCCACTTTACTGGAGCACAATGCTGTCGTTGGGAACATGGCACTACTGCCTGTCAAAACACAACATCGAGGACCTGCACCATCCTTCACTGCCCCAGCAACTGATATGGACATTATCGATGAAGCACTTTACTATTTTAAGGCAAATGTGTTCTTCAGAACATACGAAATAAAGGTATTTAACATTGAGAATCATACTGGTAATTGTATTTTAACGAAAGTCACCATTTGAAGCGTAATTTGTTTGTTACAGAGTGAATCCGATAGAGTTTTAATTTATCTTACTCTGTATATCACAGAATGCTTGAAAAAGTTATCTAAATGCTCAAACAAACAGCAAGGCATGCAAGATATGTACGCTCTGGCAATATCACGGTTTGATTTGCCCGGCGAAGCTGGATTTCCCCTAAATTCAGTTTATGCAAAGCCTGCAAATCCCAGTGAGGCTGGTAAGATTAATATTTTGGGTATTTTGTGTGCATTATACTCAATATTACTCCACTTGCATGAGAACTTCCTTGAAACTTTTCAGATCTCATGAGACAGTATTTTACCCAGTTACGCCAAGAAACAGGAATGCGTGTATGTGAGAAAGTTTTTGGTACAGAAGATGGTAAACCCTCAAAGTGGTGGCTGTGCTTTGGCAAGAAGAAGTTTATGGATAAATCACTTAGTGGACCAGGTCAATAGACAATGTACTTGAAGAAAATTTGTAACTTGTATTAAATGTCTATTACAGATTTTTTAAAAACAATTTTAGCAAGCAATATTTTTTTAAATAAATTCTACCCCATTCATTATCTTTGACTGGAACCAAGAACCAATCAAGAAGAAATTTACTGAATGCAAAGCATACTTTACGACTGACTCTCACATACTTCAATAATATTTTTCAACCTCTTTTTTTACTGAGAGCAATTCCTGGAGTTATTCCTAGATTGGACGTTTGTGATGACCTGGGTTTGAGAATTGAGGGTGTGGCATTTCAACACATGATAGAAGAATGGCTACTCCCACCCCTACGAACAAATTCTTCATGAGGAACAATGACATACAATCCATGAGGGCATACAATCAAGGAGGAAACTAAAGTATACTCACGCACGTGTGACGGTCTGGTGTGGTCCATGGGGAAAGACTGAGTGAATTAAAGAAGGATAATAAATGCGACCTGCACCAGTTTGAGAGATGAAGAAAGGTTAAGGCAATGTATGACCTTTTCTTGAGACAGAGTATGTCACATTTAAAACACCTCGCGAAGTTCACGCTCTTTGAAAGGACAAGGACAGGACAGCTGTTCTTGGTAGGTTTCAAGTTCAAGTTCAAATGGCAGCGGCCCGCTCCGCAGTTGCGACGCCAGATTGCAGTTCGGCTCGGCTGTCCTCGGTAGCACTTCGGGTAGCTTTCGGGTGCAGCAAGCTTTCGGTCAGAAATCCCAAAACTTTCCCATTGCCGGGTCGTCAACACAACACAAGTCATTTTTTTTTAGATTTTAAACCGTTAAGTACGAAAGGAACACCTGACCGCAGACGTTTCATTTCTAAATGTGCCCTGTGTGCCCTTTTATGTGCGTTATTGCCTCTGTTCGTGGACTTAGGATAAAATATCTGCATCGTTAGGTTAGGATTTTCTGTCTAACTCTGTCACCTTAGAGACAGCTCTGTCATTTACTTTGTACATTTGATTTCTTTTGAGTTGCATCTCAATGATTTATAATGAAATACTGCTTTGGATACTCTGTATATATTTTTTGGCTCTCTTACAGGCTGTAACTGGTTCCTTCATAATGGTTGACAAGGACTCTTCTCCTGTGTCTAGTGACAAGAGTGGAAATGGGAATTCTGCGGATGTAGTTTCACCAAGTTTCACAGACCAAGATCGAGAGCTTGCTCAAGCTGCCCTTTTGGAATTTAACAACGGCAACTATGGGGCTTGCCTTCAGAGCCTTACAAAGCTTGAAGCTACTTGCGGCCAAGACCTGAAACTTGGACATAATAAGGCTGTTGCTGAGTATTTCAAAAGTGATCTGAGGAAAACTAATCAGTTCAAAAAGAGCTTTGATGCACTGTGTGCTCAGGTATGTGCTCCACCTCATTACTTACGTTTTGATTTCATGACAGTGCTTTGATGTAAATGGCCACTTCATTGTAATTTTCTTTGCCAACAGGCTCATATTAATTTTGAAGATGCCAACTCATTGGAAGATGTAGACCACTGCATCTTTTACTTCAATCATTCAATCCGTTTGTTCCATCTCAAACAGTATGCTACTGCATTCCATCTTATGAGCAAAGTATTTTCTCTTATTGAACCAATGGGTAAGTTTGTCATTTTCTTGTGATACTTTTATCATTAAATATTTTTGATCTTATCTTATCTTACCTCAATCCATTTCTCCTCCCAGAGGAAACTCTCGCTCAAAGAGTTAGTATGTTGTTATTGGAATTATTACTGCAAACACATCAACCAGAAAAGGCACTGCCCCATGTTAGTTACATAGAGCAACAATTTACATCCACATCCACTCTGCCTGTGGGAAAATTATCTGGTGAGAAGGACGTGAAAACTCTGGATAAAAGTGACAAAGAGAAAAATGTATGTTGAAATAAATTACTCGATAGCTTGTTGCCGCTTATGTTATGTAATGTATTTTCTTAATTCTCTGTTAATTGTTGTAGATTGAACCGGTTGATTTAGAATCAGACCCTACTAAACTACGGCTTTTGCACTTCAAAATTCGTTGTTTGTTAAAAACTCATCAACTTAGTGCTGCAAGAAAAGAGCTTAGTTTGATATCAGGAATAAAAAATGTAAGTTTTACTAACTTCACCTTTTTTCTAACATACAAATCCTCTTGTGGTTATTTTCACTCTCATGTGTTGTGTTGTTTTCTTTTAATATGTTTACAGAATTTGCCCTCTATATTTTTGAGGGCCAATTTAGAATATCTCAGTGGTAACTACCGTAGAGCTATGAGAGTCTTAAATACAGTTTCAGGAAATATTCAATCTTTTAAGTAAGTCTTGTCATGATACTTCTAAGAAATGTTTTACTACTTTCCTCACCTATCTTCTGAATGAGCTTTAAGTTCTCCGCATTAATAACCATTATTTCATCATAAACAGAGATATTGGCGAGCATATACCCGCCCTCTACTACAACAACATGGGCTGTGTTCACCACTACATTGGAAAACCAAATCTGAGCACATTTTACCTCAAAAAAGCTCTAACAGAGGAGGAGGAAGCCATGAAAGCTTTAGCAGCAGAAAATGGTATTGTTGGCACCTTCTAGCATTTAAGGATTTATTGATTTGTTCATGTGTTAATAATATTGACAAACTCTTCTTTCCAGATGGATCCAATGGACAGCCTCTCTACACTTTAGGTTCCAACCATAATATTGAAATGAAACACAACTTAGGTTTGGCTCTTTTACATGCAGGTAGGCCCAGCCAAGCTTTCGACTTGCTTGTTGATGCAGTCAGAGTTTTTCACATGAATCCTCGCTTATGGTTGCGCCTAGCTGAATGCTGCATAATGGTCTATAAAAAGGTGCCCCAAACCGCATTTTTTTTCTGATTTTATTTTTGTACTGAATACATGTAATTTTTTAAGCAAATTGTTTATTTTCCTCCAGTCGAATGGTGAGGATTTCAACATTGCACAGAGGAGGCAGGACATGGTTCAAGGAGTAGTTGGCAATGGTATCCACAAAAAAATAATACTCTCTCCTCAACTGGCCCGTGAGGTTAACTCTCAGTAAGTTGTTTTATTGAATTTGACTTTATTTTCTTCTTGTTCTGTTTATATTGAACTTGCATGTTGTATTGTATCATTTTCAGACGAGAGGAGATTTCCAGTGCAATCCCATCTACTAGTCTCGAATTTGCATCCCTGTGTCTTCGAAATGCTCTTTCATTGCTCAATGAACATAGTGCGAGTTTGAAAAATGGAAATGTAGAGACCTCGTCTTCACTTCGATTAGCAGGCTCTCATCTTGGAGGGCTTCAAGGACTTTCCACTGGCCTCAATATAGCTGGAGGTGGTCTTGGTGCTTTGGGTGCCCCAGGGACTACTTTAGGATTTGGAGGTAATACCAAAAATAAAAAACCTACTTCAAAACTAATTTTTTTTTCCCATTATGTAGTGGTTTAAAAATTTTATCTGTTTGTTTTCTTTAGGAGGCGCCGCGAAGGCTCCTGTTCAAAAATCCTGTTACGGAGCTCCCTCTGCTCCCCTCTCAGAGACAGAGGTGGAAAGTCTCCGTTGCTCTGTTCTTGTGAATAGTGCATATGTTGCTCTTTGTCTGGGAGATTATATAATGGCACTGAAACATGCCCAAGATCTGTTGGCTCAACCAAAACTGTGTGGCACTCATAAGTAAGTTCTTACATTTACAATAATTGGACGCTAGAAGCTCCTTACATGTGTATAATGAGTCCTTTTCTTTTCAGGCTCTTGGGTCATTTATATGCTGCTGAAGCATATCTTATGTGCAATAAGATTAGCGATGCTATTGATCATTTGAATCCGGATAATATCAAAGATGTTAATTTGGAGTATCCTGGTCAAACAGAACTTGACAAGGAAAAAGCAAATGACCCAGACAAAGATGCAGAGGAATCAAAACGAAATTTGCAAAATTGGTGTCCAAATAAACTTGGCACTGCAAGAGCCGTTTTACAATACAACCTCGCCGTAGCTTTTGCTACACGAGGCGAATTAGACAAAGCAGGCGAAACTCTGAAACGAGTATTTGCCGCTAGAGGGCCAGAGTGTGAGGTGCCAACTCATGTAGTGATGCTTGCTTTATATTTAGAGCTCCAATTAGGTAAGCATTGTTTTCACCTCATCAAGGAACATTCACTTTAATTTCAACCAGTGTTTTGTTTCCAATGGACCAACTTTTGTTTTTAATTTACAGGTCACTCAGACGTTTCTCGGAGCATCGTAAGGCAGCACTGTCCACAATATAAGTGAAACTCGAGCTGGCGTCTATGTGTAGTTTAGAAGAAATTTATTTATCCAGTGATTTTGCCCTTTGTGACAAATGATGAACTTCATGGAAAATTGTATGCCTCCATGAGTGAATCATCCTTATTTCAATTTGTTTCCAAAATTTTCCAATCTTACCTCTGTCTAGTTACTGGATTGTAGTTCCAAGTGGATGATTCGCTTATGGAGAGTCTCTGTCATCTGTTCCACTTCTTTCTCTGAGCAACTGTCTAACAGTGGTCTCTTAGAACTAAAGCTAGTTATAAGCACCTTCAGTTAACCATTCTTTTTTACCTTTGTAATGTACACAAAGGTATGATAAATTTTACCATTATTTACCTTCTATCATAATTTATGATAATCCTTCAATTTGACGCCATATTTCACTCTGATAGTTAATAGCAACATATGGTTTGATGCTTGCAAATTTTTTAAAGTTAAGATTTGCATCTTAGTATGAATTAATTGCTAATTAAATCAAGCTCTTTTTTTTATACTTGAATGAAATTGTGTTTGTTAAACTATCTGAAGTGTTACATAGGGTAGCTCAGAGTCACTCTCTGCTTATCATGCAACACATTCAGGACGGGTGCAGAATGTATAAGTAGAGATAATGGAACTGTGCACATTATTCTGACCTTCTTGGGAGTGTGAAAGGTAGTAGGAAATTATGAAATCAGAATTAAGGTGAATGCAAAATTGTGTGACTTTGACAAAATTCATTTTTGTTCACTATTTTTATTTATTTTTTTGTGGCTTAGCTTTTGATAGTTTCCAAAAAGAAATCATCAAATACTATCAAAGAATTGGTTAAACTTTTGTGTGTTCTATGGAAGATGGAAACCAATCACCTTTTTATATAGTTTATTCAAGTGAGGTATGAAGGATGAGTTATGTCACCTTCTTTCATTTTATCATGTACCCCATCACCTTTTAAAAGAATCATAGGGGTTTTTGATAGGAGATACTGTATTTGTTATTTTGTTCCTTGTAAGCGATCAATTTGAACATGTTTATTGGGTTTCTTTTGCCACATCAATTTTGTAAATTGGACAATGCCTGTTTCTTGCTTGAAAGAAATTCAGTGATTATAGATATGCAGTTGATAGGTTCTATGAGACTCGTTTTATTTTGATGTCTTCAATCAACTTAATACAGTGCCAAATTTTCCTCCATTTTTGTCTTTTAATCACTTCAGGCATGACAGAGAATGCAAGACAGCAACCTTTTATCTTACCTGTTCATATTTCTATTACTTGGAAAGAATTGACTGGTTTTATTTAAGTTAGCAATTAAGAATACCCAGAACTACTTTATGTTCAACCTGGGTAAAGACTGCATCCTGTCTTGGTGATGGATGTTATGCTCAGGAACAAACAGAAAAGGAAATCTAGTCTTTGATCAATCAAAACTTGTTTCTGATGCGCCATTGCAACAATGGGGAATAGTATAAATCAGGAACTACATTCCTTTTAATTTTATCATTGCTGCAGAAGAAGTGCACTATTGACAAATAGATAGGTAAAAACACCTGCATTATTATAAGTAAACACACCTGCATTATTTCTTTACCTGTGTGAGTTAAACTCTTTTTCTTTTGAAATTGGCTGGCTTTTTGTGCTTTAGACCTGTTTTTTCTCTTTTTTCTCATTGAGCATTGTTGTTACCATTTTTGTTCGAGTATAGTTCTAATTGTCATTTGTCTTATATGAAGACAGGTTATCCACTCAAACTTTGCATAATAATTTTTTTTTTCCTAAATCATTATTTGGACTTTGAATAATTTTGTATGGTAACTTTCTTCTTGTCTGTGGCTGGTTTCAAAATTGTGATCCAGAAAAGTTCAGGCTCTTCCCACCTGGGTTGGGTTTTGTTGTTGTTTGTTTGTTGTTAATAAAAAATTAACTTGAAATACAATGTAAAGAGATTTATGAGCCGTGCGTTTCACTTGCGTTTCCTTTCCCCGATGCCTGTGGAATTAGAGTTCAGTGGCCAGCTCGCGCTCGGCAGGGGAGGGTTTTCAGATTCAAATCAGACCTCGCGCAATTTTCATGTTTGTTGAAAAATGTGAAAATTTGTTGCAGCCAGACCACGCACATTCCTACCATTGCTCCCCCCCCCCCCCCCCCACACACACACACTCACGCGTGCATCAAGATTGCGGCCCTTCAGGCAACGCCGCCACTCCCAGCAGAGGCAGACTGACTTCGAACAGTGCTGACCTCGTCGCCCTGCCTCTCTCGCACCCGTGCGGCACGCCTCATGAGTGCGAGAGAGAGACAGGACCGATGTGGTGCGAGGGTAAAGCCGCTGGACCGGCGGGCGGCGAGGGCATGCCCTGCAGGGCGATCACATCACACTGTGTGGCTAGGGCAGCCTAGGGCCACCGCGGCAGTGGTTATTGGCTATTGTGCGAATTATGTGGCGCTGAAGCACCTGCCCAAGGCTGCGCTGCAACAGCGGGCGGGGCGGGGCGGGGCGGGGGCCCCGAGGAAAGCAATCTGGATACGGGCAGAGAAAGTGACTGGCGGCCGTCCACGTCCACGCCCCGCGCCGTCCGTCAGTCCTCTGATTGGAGCAGAGTGGACGGAGTGGACACCTTATTCTCCCCCCCCCCTTATCCCCCAGCACAACCTGAGCGGGACGGAAGCCGCGCCGATTGAAGCTTGGACCCGTGCATCATGATCGGATGGAAAGGATAATCGTTCTGCGTTCTGACATCCGTTCGACTCGGCGAGGGCCACCGCCGGACCGGAGGCACACGTACACGTACACCAGCCGCGGCGTTTTGTTTGTGTTCATTTTTTTTGGACGGGGGAAGGGCGTAAGGAGAGGAGGGGTTCCATTGCCATTGTGTCAGCCGCCCAGAGTAGCGCAAGGAGTGTCAGAACCACGCCTTGGGTGCGGGAGCGAGAGCGAGAGCGAGCGCGAGCGCCCGCGGATCCGAGGGTAGGCCGCCCCGCCACACACGACTGCGCGCGGCCAAGCCAGCAAGCACACCTCCCGCGGCGGCGGCGGCGGCGGCGGCTAGCTGGCTGCGCTGCCCGCAGTGTGCCCGCGAAGCGTCGGCGTCGAAAGGGTTGCCCATCTCAGCCCGCCTGCCAGCCAGCTTGAACTCGCGGCCGCGCGTTGCCGAGCGACGCAGCCCACTGGGTCCCCGCTGGGTCCCCGCTGGGTCCCCGGGTCCGCGACACGAAATTTCTCCGTACGCGGAACACGGAACGGCGCGCCGGTGCTTGCCAAGCTGGCCCAGGCGGTGGTCGCCGCCAGGCCCGCCAGCACGGCCGAAGTGCCACCCAGGGCAGGCATAGGCTAGCCAGGCCAGCAAGGCTAGCCGCCAGCCAGGCCGGCTCCGGGTTACCCGCAGGGCTTCCGTGCTTTTCCCCCGAGGCAGCCAGGACGGGGCCCTCGGTCCTCGCCGCGCCGCGTTACTCTATCCGAACCCAGCGTGACCATCGCAAAGGATCCGAACGGATCACACTCATGGGCGAGGCGACCCTGACCCTCCGGCCCTTCGGGATCGGACGGCCGCGCGCTGTGCAGCGCTGCGTGGACTCGTGCGTGGAGGAGCGGCTCCCCAAAAATGGAATCATCGCATATTTTACTTCCCTGCAGCACCTTGCGCACAGTGGGCCAGAAGCCGGTGGAGGCGGCCAAAACTCTAGACGCGTTTTGAGCTTTAGAGTCGCTAAATGGGACTCGAACCGAACGTGTGACCCCACCAATGGATTGATCTCCGAACGAGGAATCCATTGGTGGGGTCACACGTTCGGTTCGAGTCCCATTAAGCGACACTGGAGCTCAAAACGCGTCTAGAGTTTTGGCCGCCTCCACCGGCTTCTGGCCCACTGTGTTGCGCCGCCGCGGACTCGAGCCGCGCCGACCGTCACGTCATCGCCGACCTCCGCGAACGACACCGCGGCCGAAATCCGAAATCCCGAAACGGCGAGCCAGAGCCAGGGACAGGCACCGTGACGTCACGACTGGCGCGGCAAGCGGCGGCGAGCGGCAAGCGTCGTACCTTTGCCCAAGCCTTTGCCTTGCCTCGGGGAAAGGCGCGAGGCACCACAATGCGTGCGCGCGTGTGTGTGCGTGTGTGTGTGTGTGAACTGGATCGGACATTAGCCGGAATCTGAGACGTGAGCGTGGAAAAAGGGGGGAGGGGGCGAGAGTGGGGACACTGGTATGTAAATCTACTTTTTCGTATGGGTATGGGTTCAGGTTAGGACACGTTCACGCAAAAAGAAATGTGCTAATTAATTGTTTTACAATTGAGAAATCGAGCGAAATTAAGTGTATGCAAGGCGCAGCCCAAACGGCAGGCTTCAGAGCAGAGGGTCGCACACAAGTGGAGTACGCGGTTTTTAGCGTTCCGGTTTTTGTTTCTTGAAGGGAGATCCGGTTGATGGGGTCAGCTCCGGCTCTGTTGCCTCCTCCCAGCGAAGGGAAGACTGCGCGTCGCCACGCGTGCACCTTGACGGCGCGGTCTGATCGCGTTTACAGAGACAACGCCGAGAAGTCCCCGGGACGTCTTGCAATGAAGCGCCGCGCCAGGGCAAGAGCGTTGCCCGACAAAGCGACCAAGGTGTTACAAAACTTCCGGCCAACTGATCCATCCAATGATCCATCTCTCAGAGCGCACCCCATCCTTCACTCGAGCTTCGAAATTGCAGGGTGTGAGTGGTCCACGATTCGATTAGCTAAACCGCTATCCCGAGAGGGGAGCGACGGCTAGATCCGCATCCGCGCAGTCTTTCGGCGGGCGCGACCGTCTGGTTACCTCACCGCCGTGGATTTCGGACCCGTAGTGAGAGTGGCAGGAGCAGGAGCAACTACGGGCGAGGAATCCAAACCACCAAAGTAAGAAGCCAATTCCAAGGACGGGCCGCGCTGGCTCCAGCCTGGCTCCAGCCTCCTGCAGCGGCGCACTGCTACGTCTCTCTCTCTCTCTCTCTCCCTCTCTCTCTCCCTCTCTCTCTCTCTCTCTTCCCTCTCTCTCTCTCTCTCTCCCTCTCTCCCCTCTCCCTCTCTCTCTCCCTCTCTCTCTCCCTCTCTCTCCCGCATGCACTCAGCCTGGGGCCGGCTAGAGGCTGCCGCGTGCAGGCCGAGCATGCATGCAGTTGGCCCGGGTGCCCGGGCTCGCGACAGTCCAGGAATCGGGCCGATTAAGCGATCGGCGCGATCGGCCACTGCTTGGCCACGACGGGGACCTGCAGGGTCCTGCAGGGTCCTGCAAGGACCGCCACACTTTCACTATGGGTCCGGGGCCAACCCGGGCCAGCCAGGGCGAGCCAGGGCGTCCCCGCAACGTCCGGCAGTCCGCCACGCCTCGCCACGCCTCGCCACGCCTCCGGTGCATTCGGACCGTGGACCATTCGGTGCAAACTAAGCATCCGACTGTATTACAGGAACCCGTTCACACGGGAACAGGGGTCCTGCCTTGGGCCTGCGCGCGGCGGCGCAGGGCCTGAGGCTGCCTGTGGCTGCCTGTGGCCGGCCGGCCGAAATGCGACCGTGCACCGTGCCGCGCCGCGCCCTGCCGCGCCATGCCGTGCCGCGCCGGGCGCGAGAGGAGTGGAGCAGAAACCGGCATTGGCGGAACTTTCTTTATTGGAGCAATAAACATTAGCGGCCCGGGCCGGACACCGCGGCTCCGCCATGCTCCGCCACTGCACGTCCCCAGCAGACTGATTCCGAGTGGGAGGCACCTCTCTCGCACTGACGGGGCGCTCCGTGAGGGTGCGAGAGAGACAGACCGACGAAAGCACTGTTTGGAGGAACTTTGCGGCACAGCGCAGCGTGCGGTCGGCGTCTCACAGCGTCTTGTCGGCTGGCGTCAAAATATAGATTAATTTAAGGAGAGCTGTGGTTGCCATCGCCAGCGGCTCCGGGTGGCGGGTAGGCCGCATCAAATCGAATTTTTTTTTGCGAATTGACATTTTTCTGAAAGATCATGTTCAGAAACGACCCTCCCCCAAAATTTGAGCGCGTTCCGACAGGGGGAAACCCCGGGGGCGCACGGGGCCCTAAAGATTTGCGGTCCGCGGGTTGCCTACCTCTAGCTGCTTCTTCCGGCGCCGCGGCTCTCTGCTGGTGCACTCAAAGAACGCAACACAGCGTTGGGGCTGTCCTTTGGGGTCAGTACTACACATTAAATACGTTTGAGCACCGTCGGGTGCGCCCCCGGGGGTACACCGCGAGAAAACCGCGAAATGGGTTTTACTCTACTTTCTACGCTTTTGAAGCGTTCGCGGCGGGTAAAAATCGCTGGTGGAGCAGCACAACCATATCGGCCAAGGACACACAAAGTTTGAGCAGAATGCGCCACCTGCATCACCGTCAAAATGAGGGGAATAGTGTTGCGCTCGGTCCGGAGGTAGGCCACCCCCGGCACAATCATATTTTTGCCCAGTGGAATTCGTTTTTCCGCTATCGGAATGCGCCCAAATTCGGTGAAGGGTCGTTTCTAAGCTGGTCTCCTATAAATAGGCGGAAATAGGTCGATTTGCAAATATCGGTGACTTTTGTTTGGGCCCAAACCCGTGGCCTAGCTTCCCCGGGGCAACACCATTCCCCTCATTTTTACGGTGATGCAGGTGGCGCATTCTGCTCAAACTTTTGTGTCCTTGGCCTATGGTTGTGCTGCTCCAAACCCGCGATTTCGCCCGCCGCGAACGCTTCAAATGCGTAGAAAGTAGAGTAAAAACCCATTTCGCGGTTTTCTCGCGGTGTACCCGGGGGTCGCACCCGACGGTGCTCAAAACGTATTGAATGTGTAGTACTGAACCCCCAAAAGGGCAGCCCCAACGCTGTGTTGCGTTCTTTGAGTGCACCGCAGAGAGGGCCCCGGGGGCCGAGAAGAAGCAGCTAGAGGTAGGCAACCCGCGGACCGCAAATCTTTTGGCCCTGTGCGCCCGGGTTCCCGCTGTCGGAA